TGCTGAGTTGCTAGTAACTTTGGAAAACCAATGCCACAGTGGCTGGTCAGCAAAAAAGTGAATGTCAAGCCCTGATAATAATACTAACAACAACAACAACAAACAACATGGTTTAAAAAAGAGTCACCAATAGTAAGCAGCAAAGTGAAAATGCAAGCCATAGCAAACATCACTAATGAAACCAGTGTGCAAATAAACCCACTTTATTACGTTTACCATTTTCAAGTGCTCAGGTTGACAAAGACCAGGAAGTCCCTTAAAATACCCTTTCTAGGGCAGAAACCACTCAGCTGTTGCTATGACACCACAATATCAAACACGAAGCAAGTGTGAGAATAATAATTTGATTAATTAATTCTTTAGAGTCTTATGTAAATAAAGCCGTGACTTTCTGTTTACATAATCCCAGGGCTGTTAATGCATCTTTGGGGGACTCGAGCTGTCGGCAATACCCTTTCTGATTAATTGAGTTAGAAATGCATTTGGGATAGGCTTTCCCTGACAACCGGGTTATCCTAGCAATACATCACGTTCACAAGTGAGCGGGAAAGAGTAGGAGGAGAGATGCCTACAATTGTTTAGTCGACTGGAGATTGGATTTCAAGTATTAATACAATCCCATGATTCCTAGCACCTGCATTGATCTTGTTTGTGTGTTGTTCGGCCAGCATGTGTTTGGATGCTGTATTGAAGGTTTGCAATGATGTCTGCAGCTCACATCGATCTTGATTCTTGAACGGGTGTTGAAGATGGGTAGTCGGCGAGGGTCTGTCACCATCGGTTTATCTCTCCTTCCTCAAGGCCCTTAACAAATGATTTAGAGTAATAGACATAATCCAATAGTGCAGAGAGCATTAGAGACGTTCAACATGACACTCCTGCAGAAGTGCAGCTAAGTAACTCTGAGATCAACGTGCATCTAAACTCGGAGAGGTATCCCAGACTCTATTAGATTAGATATTATTGGATTCCAAGAATGTATGCCGTTCCTGTATGGACTTCTATTTCCCGCCGTCTACCATTGTGCACAAGACAACCTGAATGAGACATTTTTAGTGGTGTTTCAGAGGCCTCGTAGGGTTTGTGTAGGGTTGTCATGTAGGGTTTGTGATTCAAAGAAACCACTAATATCACATATTAAACTTTGGCGTGCAGCATGCGATTTCTCAAATCGAGTGGCTTGTTAAGAAGAGGTGTGCTGATATTTTAAGAAATTGTACATGGAAAGGAGGTGGGAAAAGGCATATGCAAGGTTTTAATGTTTTGGAAGAAAACCCTTTTCTGCTCACCAAGGCTGCATTTATTTGATCAGAAATACAGTTAAAACCGTAACTTTGTGACATATTATTACAATTTTAAATAACTGTTTTCTGTTTGAATAAATTGTATCTATTTCTGTCATCAAAGCTGTATTTTCAGCATCATTACTCCAGTCTTCAGTGTCACATGATCCTTCGGAAATCACTCTAATATGCTGATTTGCTGCTCAAGAAACATTTCTGATTATTATCAATGTTGAAAACAGTTATACAGTTCAATCAGGGTTTCTGCAGGCATCTTCACATTAAATTTAATGCCTTTTTAATGGCATTTTTTTATTTTTAATGCCATAAACGACCCATGACTAACCACGGATATATGTATATATATATATATATATATTAGGGCTGTCAAACGATTAATCGCATCCAAAATAAAAGTTTGTGTTTACATAATAGATGTGTGTGTACTGTGTATAATTATTTTTAATACATAAATACCCACACATGCATGTGTATTTAAGAAATATTTGCATGTATATACTGTATTTAGACTGAATGTAGTCTATATATAATGTATATTTTATATAAATATAAACATTTTATATATAAATAACATTTTTCTTAAATATATACATGTGTGCATTTATATACAAAATAATTATACACAGTACACACACATATGTAAACACAAACTTATTTTGGATGCGATTAATCGTGATTAATCGTTTGACAGCCCTAATATATATATGTATATCAGTGGTTAGTGGAGATTACATGTGACATGTCTACTTTTAAACAGAACAATTCAAAACGAAAGAAAACAGACTACAGACTGCTCTCTGCTTATGTAATCCGTATGAAATGTGCATTTCTCTCTGGCGCGTTGACTACTGTGAAGATCGCGAGTCAGCATCGTCAACTTCATCTTTGCAGCCGACACTGACAAAGAAAGGCCTGTTTTTTTTTGTTAAGGATTTGTTTACTGTGTGTGATTCATTTAATGGAAAGCACATTCACTGCTAGTTGTCTTGCTGTTAATTTAAAATAAACGTAGAGCAAGTAGCTAATCAGTGTCTGCTCGTTTATTCAAACTAAGTTGTCCTATAACAGACAAACGTCGCAACGCCCCCATATTCAAATAAATTGATTAAAAAATTATAGTTTTGAAGAGAATTGTATATGCCAGTAGGAATCGTTTAATGCTTTTTAATGCCATTTAAGGCCTTAATTCTCACAAAATCCATTTAAGGACTTTTAGTGCTTTTTAATGCCCCGCGAAAACCCTGTCAATGTTTTTTTTTTTGGAAACCCCCGATTTGGGGATTCTTGGATGAATAGAAAGTTCAAAACAGCAGCATTTATTTGAATTTTTTTGCAACAAAAATGTTTTTACCGGTCACTTTTAATCAGTGTAATGCATCCTTAAAGTTAAAAAAACTTTCTTTCTCTTTTCTTCATTCTAATTTTTACTGACCCCAAACTTTTGAACGGTATTGCACATTGAAGGAAAGAACTGAATATCGCAGAAACTTGAGGGGAAATGTGGGGGAGATTGTAAGACTACTTGTTAAATAGTTAAAGAGGAACTGGAACACAATAGGCTGATCTACAAGATAAGACTAAAGATATCCTAGGCCACACTAAAGGTTTAAAGCTGCTGCTTCAGACGGTTCCTATCTGTTGTTGTGAATCTTTCATATTTGAAAGACAAGGTTACTGGAGCGGAAATCAGATTTGGTTCAAAAGTCCTGGGTTACTGTGTTCAGATATCACCCAGCTTGAGTAATGTTAGCCATCACTGTAAAATTCACAACAATCAAACTGTAACCTTGAAGAAAGACTCATTTTCCTGTTTGCTTTTCTCATTGCATAACTATCTTTCCCTTCCTGTGGAAGAAGAAAACAAATCTATAACACAGTCAATCAAAAAGTAGACAGAAAAAACTAGGGATGTGCAAAAGTCATAATGGCCTAGTGCGTGTGAAAGGCTAGTTGTTTTTAAGGAAGCCCGATATAATTAGGCTGATTCATGTCAAATACACACCATTATGGCACATTCTTGTGTTCAATAACAGCTCGATGAAGTGCAACAGAAAAAAACAGAACTGGTCTCAAGAGATGTTTTTAAAACAATTTTCACTCCATTGTTATGTGCGCAATAGACCTGCCCTTTAATTTCACAAAACCATCCTAGTCCACACAAAAAACAGAGACCTACACTTTATAACAAAACAGCTGACAATAACAGAGAAGTTAAACAGATCTACTTTCAACAGCAAATTTCAAGAACAATTACTATCTATCTATCTATCTATCTATCTATCTGAAAAGTATATATATATATATATACATACACTCACCGGCCACTTTATTAGGTACACCTGTCCAACTGCTCGTTAACACTTAATTTCTAAGCAGCCAATCACATGGCGGCAACTCAGTGCATTTAGGCATGTAGACATGGTCAAGACAATCTCCTGCAGTTCAAACCAAGCATCAGTATGGGGAAGAAAGTTGATTTGAGTGACTTTGAACGTGGCATGATTGTTGGTGCCAGAAGGGCTGGTCTGAGTATTTCAGAAACTGCTAATCTACTGGGATTTTCACGCACAACCATCTCTAGGGTTTACAGAGAATGGTCCGAAAAAGAAAAAACATCCAGTGAGCGGCAGTTCTGTGGGCGGAAATGCCTTGTTGATGCCAGAGGTCAGAGGAGAATGGCCAGACTGGTTCGAGCTGATAGAAGGGCAACAGTGACTGAAATAACCACTCGTTACAACCGAGGTATGCAGCAAAGCATTTGTGAAGCCACAACACGCACAACCTTGAGGCGGATGGGCTACAACAGCAGAAGACTCCACCGGGTACCACTCATCTCCACTACAAATAGGAAAAAGAGGCTACAATTTGCAAAAACTCACCAAAATTGAACAGTTGAAGACTGGAAAAATGTTGCCTGGTCTGATGAGTCTCGATTTCTGTTGAGACATTCAGATGTTAGAGTCAGAATTTGGCGTAAACAGAATGAGAACATGGATCCATCATGCCTTGTTACCACTGTGCAGGCTGGTGGTGGTGGTGTAATGGTGTGGGGGATGTTTTCCTGGCACACTTTAGGCCCCTTAGTGCCAATTGGGCATCGTTTAAATGCCACGGCCTACCTGAGCATTGTTTCTGACCATGTCCATCCCTTTATGGCCACCATGTACCCATCCTCTGATGGCTACTTCCACCATGTCACAAAGCTCTAATCATTTCAAATTGGTTTCTTGAACATGACAATGAGTTCACTGTACTAAAATGGCCTCCACAGTCACCAGATCTCAACCCAATAGAGCATCTTTGGGATGTGGTGGAACGGGAGATTCGCATCATGGATGTGCAGCCGACAAATCTGCGGCAACTGTGTGATGCCATCATGTCAATATGGACCAAACTCCCTGAGGAATGCTTCCAGCACCTTGTTGAATCTATGCCACGAAGAATTGAGGCAGTTCTGAAGGCAAAAGGGGGTCCAACCCGTTACTAGCATGGGGTACCTAATAAAGTGGCCGGTGAGTGTATTTATTAATAATATAAAAGAAGATATTTTATATAGTTACTAGTTAAGCTTAAGTTAAGATCAGAGAAAAAGTATAACAAATAAAAATATACATGCACAAGAATGTCATATACTAGTGGTTTTTCAATATATAAGAAAATATATAGATACAATGCTCAAAACAGATGATCTCAAAAAGCAGAGCATCAAACACTCCTATATTTCCACAGAATCATGGCACTAAAAAAGGCAGTTTGACACGCAGGCCTCGGAGGGAAGCTGGAAGTGTTTGTCAGGGTGATGCTGCTGAATCACAGGGCAGACAGTGTCTCTCTTTCTATTAGTTAGCTGAGCTGAGGTATGGTGAACTCCAGGGAGGCAGATAGATGACGCAGTTTCACTCCGATCATTCTCCCTGCATGCGGTCGCTCCAGGAACACACGAGATTAAGAGATGCAATTAACTGTCACAGACACACAAGTCACGGGCTAAGACAACACTCATGAGATTGCTCCATAAATTTCACCGCAAACAAGCCGAGCAGGTTAGCGAGGGAGAGGACGCTAATTCGGTTTATGAAATGTTCATAGAGCCAGTGGATGAAGGATGTTGCAGCTGTGCCCTTTTGTGGTTACATGACTGATTATTTTCACATTTGTGTCAGATCATTTAAGCACAGATCTAATCTACTAACACAATTGCATGCAAGATACAGTTGCTAAAAGCAAATGCACCATTCTTTCAACTAATAATATCTCTACCGTTTGTGTTTGCAGGAAACATGGTGAGCAAGGACGCTGGTAAATGCATGCTCACCAACTCTGAGTCGGACTCAGAGGCAACAGCGGCCTCCATGGCCCTGGAGGTCAAAGGATCGTCAGACGAAAGCCGACATGTGCGCAAGCGCAACAAGGCCCTTCAGGTGCGCTTCAAGGACATCTGCGAGGCCCAGAACGAACAGGCCGCTGCTGCCCGAGGAGGGAAGCCGCTCTACAAGGTGGCGTACCGCAAGTACATGACCGTCCCAGCTCGCCGATCAATTCCCAATGTCACCAAAAGCACTGGAGTGCAAACCTCACCGGATCTTAGGAAGCGTTACCAGACTTTTCCATTTGAGCGAAAGAAAGGACACACGGTCAAGCATGCCGCTGCGGTGGAGAGCTGTAAGGACCAGGACGATGGGTTTGTTATTGATGTGAAGAGGGCGAAAGCTACCGTGGCGAGCAGTGAGTGTGCTCCCTCTCATAATCTGAGGAAAACAAAAGCATTGATGCACACCAGCAAGTGCGTCGCAACCATAGAGCAACATCCGCAAGCCAGGGAGTGTCTGGAGAGAACGGACGGGCCGTGCTCGGACGCTCTGGTTCTTCCCTGTCCGACTGATAGGACCATAGCGGGAGCGGACCACTCGGACTATCAGATGTGTAGCGTCAGAAGTAAACACAGTAAGGGCTTCCGGAGAGACTCCGAAACTCTTGATCGCTCAGGCAAGCTGCAGTTGCTGAACTCTGGGGAGAGCGCTGGGAATGTTCTCCAGGATTCCTCCTCCAAAGTGACGGGACCCATCGCGTGGAACTCCCTCACGCAGGTGGAGTGCTTGGAGAGTCCAACCGAGCGCAGCAAACGCAAGGCTGCACTGCAGCTCAACGGCCTGCAGTCACAGACGCTCCCGAGGGCCAGTTGCACTACGCAGGTCCAGTGCCACGTGGGTACACTGTCCGCTCGACCGCTGCGGGCCATGGAGGAGGCGGCGCCCGTGACTTCGGTCTCCTCCACAGCCGTTCCCATGCCGGCACCTCCGTGCAGGGGCGTCACGGTAGCGGGGACTCTACGGACGGATAATGAGGCGTGCAAGCAGATAGTGCCTGTCAATCAGGATGGGGATGTTAAAGCGCAGCTCCAAGCCATGGAAAACATGATCAGCTCCAGTCAGGAAACCATTAAAGTGCTGCTGGGTGTCATTCAGGAGCTGGAAAAAGGAGAAGCTCATAGAGAAGGGTAAGACGCTGTACATTAACCGGCATGCAAATAGTAACCGCAGAATTGCACCAAGCAGAAATGTATTTCCATACACGTTTCCCCTAAGATGTCAACTGCAATGTGTTGAAAGCACCAACAAGCTATAATGCACATTGTTCAGAACGTTTATTTTCAGTTATAAATGAGATACAAGAAACACACACACAATAACATTGGTTCTCAAACTGACTGCTACAGTAAGTCTAATTAGAATGGATAAGTTCATCTTTGGTTGGTTAGCAAGTCCTTAAATTGTGTGCCAACAAAATTGCATTTTTACGCACATTTACCCAGACATCCACATCTCATGCAAAATACAGTGTGTTGAAAGTGCTAACAAGCTGCAATGCACATTGTTCAGAAAGTTGACAAAAAGATGGATCACTTTGCCTGTCTCTATACATGCATGGGATACAAGAAACTATTTCGACACTTTACATCAGTCCCAAGTATTGTTTGGTTCTCAGACTGACTGCTATAGTAGGTCTAATTAGGATGGATAAGTGCATCTTTGGGTGGTTAGAAAGACTTTAAGAGCAGCACTCTTTTTCATATTGACTTTTATCACCTTGGACTCAACCTGGGAAATTTGCCGGAGGCCTTCTAAATACTGTATAGTACTAATGATGCCAAACACCTTTTACTTTCAAGAGCACCTATTTAATATAACAACTGAATGTGCTCCATTTCAGGGCAGATACATTAAGCAATGACACATCTTTTTAAGAGAGAAGAGAAAGTTGTAGAAATGCAGAAATACCTCACAAAGGAGAGAAAATGTCACAGTGTATTTGGACAAAAAGGGAAATTTTGTTTCCCAGGATTATTTACAAGCATAACAGCTGAATATTTACAGTCAGAGGCAAATCAATGACAAACCATCTCATTCCCACAGCATGGCATCATGCAAATCTCCCTAAACTACCACTTTAAAATATTCCAACACCACATTTATCTTTAACCCATCCAGCTAGGCATAACATACTGATTATTTCAGCATTTACACATTAAGTGAGCCCCTTATGAGGTGAGTTTGCATGCAATTTAGATAAACACTATGATATTACAAGACTAAATCCAATGTTTGAGGCAGGTTGGGTTAAGTGAGGAAAACTTTAGTTTGCACAGGAAGCAGACTCAATCTCCCGCATATCCACACACATATTTCCCTAAAGATGCTTTGGGATGTAAGGACTGGAACCCTGCCAGGATAGTGATTATAAACGGCATTAATTACCCGCAAGACTACATGTCTACTTTATATAGTTGAAGCACAATTAAGGTCACAGAAAGAGGATTTTATAAACAACTGATCCAGAGGACGACATCATCATCATGAGGATGTTTAGAGATCCGCTCAACCACAAACTGAGATTCATGGGACAATGGACCACAGCCTGAACAAAAAAAAACTTATTTTGCTATATATATATATATATATATATATATGCATTATCCGATGCCTTAATAATTTTAGCGAGAATTTATAAAGCCTCAGTGTATAAGCACTTATATAAACGTCTAATGGTACGCTTCACATAAACAAATAAAGCTCAGCCTAGGTTTCAGAGAGGATATCATCTAACATAACCTCAGCAAATGCCTCAGAGGTTTCTTATGGATAATACTTTTGCAGATATTACACTTAAAGTAATATTTTAATGTATTTTCAGGGCAGAGTTTTCAATTCCCCAGCTCAGGTTTGAGAAAGTGCATTTTCCTGCATTCAATGCAGAAACAGTTAATGCTTGTGTGGATACGCAACATTAGTCTCATTCCACACACTCAGAAATGTCATTCTCATGACAAAAGACAGGCGTTGTGTGCCTTGAGGGCGTAGGTGAATGTATTCATAATTACATCTGCTACATTACCGCTGGCGTGATGTAGTACTATCTTTTCAATGTGTTCAAAAGCATGCTGCAGACAAACACACATGCAAAGAGGTGTTTGACTCAAAAAGTTGCAACAGGATCAAAGGGAATGCTAGCGGTTGTGTAGCTTAACTGTGTCAGTTCCAAAGTAAAGTATAAAGCGTGGTATGTATTACTTAATGATCAAAACAAACATTAATCCTCTGGGGACCAAGGTGTTTTTGGGGTCCTTGAGATGTTTTGACATGCCCTGACATTTGTGCTTTTTCAGTTGCTTATAAACATATTAATGGCACAGGTGAAATTACACTATTTAGCACAAACAGGGCTACCATCATATGTGAGCAACATGTATGTATATGTTTGTATTTTTGAGAGAATATTGTTTATGCATGGTTATTGAAAAAACTAAACATTAAAGTTTCTGAAATAAAGCCACAAAACACATACTAAATGTGTGTCCACAAGACTTTTGACTAATGGAAGTTGTGGCCTAGAGTTTTTGCTTCAAAATGATCTGAAAATCATCCTGCCTAATCATTCACATAACACAATAGATTCTTTTAAATTGTGAAAAACATTTTTTTGTTAGCCAAGGCAATATGCAAATGGCCCAACCCCATTGTGAATAATTAGGTGGTTGAGAAGACAAAGACCCGCATATTAATGAGCCTTTCATTCAGGTGTGTCACACAAGAAAGAATGCAAGGACAATATACACACACACACAGACACACATACACACACATATATATATATATATATATATATATATATATATATATATATATATATATACAGTATATATAAAAAAATCAAAATATAAATGAAAGTCAAAAGCAAATTTTTAGTCATACCTGGAAACAAATCCTGTTCAAATAGTTTATTTGGGCCATTCTACAGAATTGGTTCAAAGTTAGAGTTAGAAACATCTTGAAAAGAAAATTGTCTTTTTCCATAAATGTCTTAGTAGGCCAATACATTTTATCATACATATTTCAAAGTTAAGGATTCATTATTTTGATATAGCTTGCATTCGAACAAACACTATTCTTAGTTGATTAGTTTATTGACAAAACATACTATATATTTAACATATGAGCAGAAACTGCTAACAAAAGCTTATTTTATGTCTATTTTAGAGTTAAAACTTTATAATCTATCCAAAACTAGTCACACACACACACACACACACAGAAACATGATTCAAATTTAAACAGTAGGCTATTTTTGCGTTTACAGACACTAACGTTATTATATATCGCGATTAGAACAAAGCACAAGAATAAAACACTTACAGTTCAGCTCGCTCCTCGAAGTGAAAATAAACCAGCACTTGTTCTGAGGTAGGTAAATGTCCCAGGATTATTCCTCACAGCCGCGCAAGACGACAGTACATTAATCTGACTAAATATAATGTGTTTACAGAGTTTATATGGGCGTTTACACGTCTCAATGTGTTGCTTCAGATCATTAGCGTTTGAATAGCGCGCGCTCTCCGTGGGCGTGTCACATTAGCGGAATAATGAGATGTGAGAACGATAATGAGAGCGGCTGACACCTCTCTCTTTTTATATAGATTACATAAACAGAGAATATTTATTTTAGTTTTAAATTAGATAATTTAGAAGTACAAACTTAAATGATCATAAACATATATTGCTCATGTCTGGGTGAATAGTATTCGCTGAGTTTTGTTTAAGTTTAGAACCGTGCTCCAGAAAAAAAGTTCACGGACACGGAGAGGCAGAACGCACACCCTGTTTATTTTCTTTATTTTACAAAAGCACAATATTTTATTTCGATTGTAGGTAGGCACATAAAGTAGACATTTAACAGTTTATTTTTTAATATGTCTTAACTCTGTATGACCAGAAATGATGGAGTAGTTTAAGTCTATTTTTCTGCTATGTGAAAAAAATCTGCCAAAACGCACCGGTGCGTTTGCCGTCCCCAGAGGGTTAAGTGAATCATGGAAACAAACAAAAATAACATTTCCTTAAAACATGCAATAAATTCAACAATGTGTTCACACCATGTCGTAATCACCGTAACTTTGAGATGTCAACATGTGACGTTCTACTTGGAGCCGTACAGGTGCAGCGGTCAGGTGGTACAAGTATGAGCTCTCCAAAATATATATCCCAATAATAATAGTATATATTCCAATATTTTTAAATTAATTTTCTATTTTTTATTCATATTAAACCCATGAATTAAATCATTTCAAGAATAATAAATAATCCAAGCATAATTGAGAGTGAGTGAGTGAGTGAGTGAGTGAGTGAGTGAGTGAGTGAGTGAGTGAGTGAGTGAGTGAGTGAGTGAGTGAGTGAGTGAGTGAGTGAGTGAGTGAGTGAGTGAGTGAGTGAGTGAGTGAGTGAGTGAGTGAGTGAGTGAGTGAGTGAGTGAGTGAGTGAGTGAGTGAGTGAGTGAGTGAGTGAGTGAGTGAGTGAGTGAGTGAGTGAGTGAGTGTGAGTGAGTGAGTGAGTGAGTGAGTGAGTGAGTGAGTGAGTGAGTGAGTGAGTGAGTGTGTGAGTGTGTGAGAGTGAGTGAGTTTATCTGCCCACTGATAGGCATACATAAAATATCTAGTGTTGCATGCAACATCTCATCTGGATGACATGTCTATATATCATCATCATAACCAGGCCTCGCTGAAATGTGAGGTGCATACTGCATAAGAATAATTGTTATTTTCTGAACTTAAAAAAAATGGCTGCAAGTAGCTCATCCATACTGAAAATTAGTTAGACATAATAATAACAAATTTGTAACCTAAAGCTTTTAAAATAATTATTCCTGACAGTAACTGTTTATCTCTCCATCTATTTAAATAGTAATCAATGCTATCTGCACAAATATGGAGCCCAATAATTGAGTGTCCTTTGTGGGAGAACTCAACTTGTGTCCCAAAGATCTCTCTCTTTCTCTTTCTCTTTCTCTTTCTCTTTCTCTCTCTCTCTGTATACAACATAATTTACTTCCTTTTTAGATTCCAACACATTGCCTCGCTCCGGAGGGTTCGGTCTGATCACCACTGGCATCCATTGCCTTGTGACAAACATTATTCTGCCCTCCTGTCCAACCCCGGGCTCTCAGCAG